TCAGATCCAGCAATACATGAAAAATATTATTCACCTTGACCAATTGGGATTCATTCCCGAGATGCAAGTCTGGTACAATATTTGCAAAACAATAAATGTGATACACCACATAAACAAAATGAAGAATAAAAACCACATGATCATATCAATAGACGCTGAAAAAGCATTAGAAAAAATCCAGCATCCATTTCTGATAAAAACACTCAGCAATGTGGGAATAGAGGGATCATATGTCCACATAATAAAGGCCATATATGAAAGACCTACTGCCAATATCATACTCAATGGGCAGAAACTAAATGCATTTTCATTAGGAACAGGAACAAGACAGGGATGCCCACTTTCGCCACTCTTATTTAACATAGTAGTGGAAGTCTTAGCCACAGCAATCAGACATGAGGAAAAAATACAAGGGATCCAAATTGAAAATGAGGAAGTGAAACTGTCACTATTCGCAGATGACATGATATTATACATAGAAAACCCTAAAGACTCCATCAAAAATTTACTTGACTTAATAAATGAATTTGGCAATGTAGCAGGATACAAAATTAACATCAAGAAATTGATGGCATTCTTATACTCCAATGATAAACTCACAGAAAGAGAAACTGAAAAAACAATCCCATTTACCATCATGGCAAAAAAATTAAGATATCTAGGAATAAACTTAAGCAAAGTAGATAACGGACCTATTTGTAGAAAACTATAGGATGTTGAAAAAAGAAATAGAGGAAGATATAAAAAAGTGGAAGCACATACCTGTTCATGGATTGGAAGAATTAACATCACTAAAATGTCCATATTATCCAAAGCAATCTATAGATTCAATGCAATCACCATCAAAATACCAACAACATACTTCACAGAACTATAAGAAATACTTCAAAAGTGCATAAGGAACCAAAAAATTCCCCAAATAGGCACAACAATTTTGAAAAAGAAGGACAATGTAGGTGGGATCACAATATCAGATATCAGGTTATACTACAAAGTGACTGTAATCAAAAGAGCCTGTAACTGGCACAAGAACAGGCATATAGACCAGTGGAACAGAACTGAGAACCCAGTAATGGACCCAAGGCAATATGCTCAATTAATATTTGACAAAGTTTGGCAAGAGCATACAGTGGAGTAAAGACAGCCTCTTTAATAAATTGTGTTGGGAAAATTGGACAGCTACATGCAAAAAAATAAATAAAACTACACCATCAACATACACCATACTCAAAAATAAACTCAAAATGGATAAAAGACTTAAATATGACCTGTAAATACATAAAAATTCTAGAAGAAAATGTAGGCATCAACATTTCGGATATCATACACAGCAGAATTTTCACTGATACATCACCTAAGGCAACAGAAACAAAGGAAAAAATGAACTCATGGGACTACATCAAACTAAAAAGCTTCTGCACAGCAAAAGATACAATCATCAAAATGGAAAGGCAACCCACTGTATGGGAGAACATCATTGCCAATGATGTATCAGATAAGGGGTTAATTTCAATATATATAGAGTGCTCATACAACTCAACAAAAGGAAGATAAAGAACCCATTTAAAAAATGGTTAGAGTAGCTGAATAGACACCTCTCCAAAGAGGACATACAAATGGCCAAGAGACATATGAAGAAATGCTCCACATCACTTAGTATCATCACAGAGATGCAAATTAAAACAACAATGAGGTATCACCTCACACCTGTCAGAATGGCCGCCATCAACAATCAACAAACAACAGGTGTTGGCGAGTGTGTGGAGAAAAGGGGACTCTAGTACACTGTTGGTGGGAATGCAGACTGGAGCAGCACTGTGTAAAATGATATGGTGTTACCTCAAAACATTAAACATTGATCTTCCAGTTGACCTAGTCATCCCGCTTCTAGGAATATACCCTAAGAAGCTGGAAACACTAATCATGAAGAATATATGTTCCCCCATGTTCATAGCAGCACTATTTACAATAGCTAAGATCTGGAAACAGCCCAAGTGTCCATCAGTAGACGAAGGGATAAAAAAAAGCTGTGGTACATATACCCAGTGGAGTACTATGTAGCTGTAAGAAAGAAAGCTCTCTTATCCTTTGAGACGACATGGAGGGACCTGAAAAGTATTTTCCTAAATGAAATAAGCCAAGCAGAGTAGGATAAATACCACATGATCTCACTTATATACGGAATATAATGAACAGAACAGTCTGAGGAATACAGTAGACCCAGAAACATGGAAGTAGGGCACAGACTGACATTCCTCAGAAGAGGGGGTGGGGGGGTGGGAAGAGATAAACCACAGAACTTATATGCATGTATGCATGAACAATGGACATGGACAACAAAGCTTGAGACGGGGTGGGGGATGGGATGGGGAGGAGGGTGTCGATGGGGTAAAAAAGGAGAAATATCTGTAACAAAAAAATTAAAAATTATAGAAATAAACCAATAAAACATTTCTGGCTTTGGAGATGTCTCTGTTTGGAAGACATAGTGAATACTACAAAGGAGACACATTAATAAACATTTATTGAACTGTATTAAATTTAATTGAAATTAATTAAATTTGGATGGTGGCTACAAAAAAAACAATATAAACACATTTAAAAAAACTGCATTCTCTACACCATAGAGATTGGATGCCTTATTAACCTTTGGTGGATGCCCAAATATTCAGTGACTTTGGCCACATTGCTTAATCTCTCTGAGCCTTAGTTTCCTGAAGATAGCCTCTTTATTTCAGAAATACTGTAAGGATTACAGGAGATAATTCTACCCAAATGCTTAGCAAGTGCTCGGCACCCAGTCAATGCTCAATTAAAGATGGCTATTCTTTTTTTTTTTAGCCTCACCCCAGGATATTTTCCCATTTTTTGTTCAGGTAGAGTGGGGGGGAGAGAGAGAGAGAGAGAGAGAGAGAGAGAGAGAGAGATCGACGTGAAAGGGACACATCAAGTGGCTGCCTCCTATATGACCCACACATCAAGTGGCTGCCTCCCATATGACCCAACCAGCGCCGGGGACAAACTTCAACCTAGGTACGTGCCCTCAGTGAGATCTGAACCCGGGTCTCTCTGGACCGCAGGCTGATGCTCTAACCACTGAGCAAACCCTGCCAGAGAAAGGTGGCTATTCTTATTCCTGGTTCATTTGGCCTTTGTCCTCAAGGAGGACAAAAAGTAGGTAAAGTCCCATAGGTAGTCAGGAGCAGAAGGAAGACTGGAATCCAGGTGTCCTAAGCCCTGGTCCTAGGCCAAGAACAACTGTCACATCAGATGGATGTTTTCCTGCAAGGGGTTGTCAATTATTCATGTGGAAATCTCAGGGCTATTTACATAAACTCTCCTTTGGGACTTACAGAATTTTATTAACAGACCTTGACTTGAAATATGTTTTTTTTTGTTTGTGCTAGTTTGTTTTTTGGGAAAAGGCAAAAGAACCAGGTGAGTGTCTAAATCAGATTTTCATATTAAGGAAGATTGAAGGATAGGGGAGAGTGGTGTAAAGGATGTGTTTCCACATCTATACAGTTCCCTGGATCTGGGGTGCCAGATGTTGTCTCTGGGTGTTAGGAAGCATCAGAGGAAAAGCAAGCAAAAGAAACAGCTGAGATCCAGTTCAGGTCATACCCTAGTAGTAAAGCCCAGCTCCCACAAAGGAACTCCTACTGCTGCTCACATTCTGGGCCTTGCAACAACTTGTTTGGATAGCAGGTTTCATGGTGAACTGATAGGTAATTCTGCTTTTAATCTGTCCATTTCTGTCCCTCAGTCAGCAAACACCAGGGCTGCTGAGAGCCTCAGCACATGCAACAGAGCTCCATGTTAGCACCGAGTGTCTTCCTGTGGCTACAGTAACTGGGATGGAGGTTAGAATTTGCCTCCCAGACAATGCCTGGCAGAAGGGCTGGCAATTTGGAGGACAGACTCTGGCCAAGTAATTGCTCCATCTCTGCCATCTCCTCTAACTACCATCTTTGAGAGAGTTGGGACTCCAGTAAACAAAGTTTCATAAATGTTTATATATTCAACTTGATACCACATTCTCAATTATCTTGTTAATGAAAGACAATGAGGAGAAAAAGAAAAGCAAGACTTAAACAATCTCCTCCTATCCTGTGCACATATAAAAATCCTATACTAAATAGAAAGCAGACTTACCAAAAGTGGATTGCCCTTGGGATTGGAGAAACCAGGCCCTCTAGTTATATGCAATGATATTATCTCAGAGTTCTAAGCTCCCAGTTCTCTAAACAGGAAGGAAGCATACCCACAGCTCTATAAGAGCCATTTCCTCCCTGCTCTATTAATTTCAGAGATTAGGTCCGTAGACCTAATACACTGAAATAATAGCCATTGTGTTTGCTGCAACTCCTACTAACCGAACTAATCCTGGTAGTTTGGCAATGTTGCAGGCTTTTAATAACCAATGGCTTTCATGATGCCTTCCACTGTCATCCTGGATCCTGGACCTACAACTGGAATCCCTAAACCTGATTTTCTGACACATAAATGATGTCTGAATTCCAAGTAGGAAAAATAGAAATTTGTCAAATAAGTTTTTAAAAGGACATGAAGAGTTGAATGGAAATCTCTTTCTATATCCTACTCACTGGCTTCCTACTTTCAGTGGTATCAGGAAGCTAATGCAATACATCTAGTGCCTGTCATTTCCACACTCCTGGTTTCTATGAAGAGAAAAAGTAGGCTTTTATTCCCTCTCACCCTTCCTCTTTTTCCATTTCAAGGGGTGCAGTGCAGAGATCATAGGACTGGGAATCCAGATGGAGCCTTGGACTCTATGTCCTGCTCTACCAGAAACTCAAAAGGGGCAGGGTCAGCTCATCTCCTAGATCTCTTCTATGTCAGATTCCAGTTCCTTACATTTTAGGTTGGTTTCCTGCCATCAAGTTTGCACACAGAATTTCAATAATACATTTTACATTCAAGTTTAAGATTAGAAGCATTCAACCCCCCCCCCCCCCCCAAATAGCCCATTGTCTGACCGATTCTTGGAGCTTTCTGGGCTCCTGCTGATTTCCCACCATGACGATATGGGGAAGCATACTCTTGAGCACAAGCTGAGTTTTCCAGTCATCCATTGTTTGACCTGCAATTTTATTCTTGACTCTCCAAGGTACTTTCCCAAACGACCTAGACACAGGGCTTAGGGAGACAAAAAGTATACTGTCTTTCAGGTATGAATATGAGACCAATGACCCCATGAAGTAGTCTTTCACTCTGAGAGATATATTTGGGTGGAGTCAGCCACATTATTTTTCCTGTCTCTCTCCCCACCCCACCAATCTCTTTGAGCCCTTCCTTTCCCTGGAGATGAGGGGCACTTCTGTGAGGCAGTTGTATGGGTTGGCCATGGGGCAGAGCAAAGTTCACTGGGAGCTGAGAGATGAGTGGAGAAGCAGCCTGACATAACTAAAATAACACTGGGCTTAATGGAAGAGAATATGGGTCCCAGGTCTGGCTCTGCTTTTGAGTGGTATGCAGTGAGTTCTGTGAAAGGGCTCTTCTGTTTTTGACACAGCTTTCTTATATTAAAACCCTGGTGGTTGGATCAGGTGATGACTTAGGGCTGGCCCCCTCAGCTCTACAGCAAACCTTATGGCCCATAGAAGGAGCAGCTCCCACTCCTGTCTCTGTTAACACCCAGCTAAGCGAGCTAATAGTTCATAATCTGAGCTAATAGTTCATAATCTGACAGTCAGTGGAAGGAAACAGTGGATGTTGGGAGGGGTTCATGAAACCCCAGTGCACTGGCTTACACAAAATTAACCAAGCCGTCTGTGATCATGAACACCCTAATGTATGCCCTCTGTGACAGATGAACAGACATGTACAAACTCAGGTAAAGCTGTTTTTTACATGTTGTTTTGTTTCATTTGTTTTTCATGATGTAGACATGAAATAAGAGCTCTGCTGAAGCATCATATATGAAGAAAACTCTCCTTCCCATAAATCTCCTTGGAAGTATAGAAGCAGGCTCTAAAATTTCAACGTCTAGACTTCTGACTCTGAAAAAATGGAGAAGTAATTTTCTCAGTGAGTACAACTAGAACCTCTAGATATTATATATAAAACAAACTTAAGAAGACACTGTAAGTTAGGGATTAAAAGGCAGGCTGGATAGGAAATTTAGGACCTGAGGAACAGCATGGTGGTGAGCTGCCTGTTATTGTTGTTGTTGTTGTTATTTTTTGCCTCAATGATCCTGGATGTGAACCTGAAGAAGCCCACGACCCAAAATGCCAACAGGCAAAGACAAAAAGGACCCAGCAAAATCTTGCTCTCTTTAGACAAAGGACCAGGAAAGAGGCAGCCTGCCAAGACAAAAACAAACAAACAAAAAAAACAACTTTTATATAAGAACTGCTCTAATTCAGCTAAACACCACAGAAAAAAAGTGTGGTTCCTCCCACCCAGTACCATCATCAAAAGTCAAGGGGCGGGGGGTGCCTAAACTCCACTCCCACCTGGCAGTAATGATTCATGTCTCCCTGTCCCCACTAATAGAGAGTCAGGTAATGAGTCCACATCCCATCCCTGCCAATGTCAGTGGAAATCACATAGGGGACAGTAATGAGACAGTCCTACCCATTCCAGCCATGGTAGCATCAATGGAAGCTCATTGGGGAATTGGAACTATCACCACTGCTCAGCAGTAATAAGGAGCCCAAACCTGGTGTCAATGAAGGCTAAGTGGGCAATCTGGTTTCTACACCCACATGGCAGAAATGAGATGGTGCCCCCTTTCACTGCTGGAGCATTATCAGAGGAAGTCAGCTAAAACAGAATAAGTGTTGAAGCAACAGAACTGTCAACCCAGAATCCTATATGCAATGAAAATAGGCTTCAGGTATGTAAAGGGATTCAAGACATTATCAGATGAAGAAAAAATAAGAAAATTTGTTAACAGACCTCTCCTAAGAGAATGGCCAAAGGAAGTTCTCTAAATAAAGATGAAATGATAAAAGAAGGAATTTTGGACATCACGAAGGAGGAAAGAACAATGAAAAAAGGGAAATCATGAGTAAATATAATATACTTTTCTTCTCCTCTCAAGTTTTCTAAATTATCTTTAATGCTTGAAGCACCAATTGTAATACTGCATATTTTGGTTCTAAATGTATATGGAGAAAATATGTAACACAATTACATTATAAACAAAGGAGGGTATAGGGGTAGAAAGACAGGAAAGATTTCTCTACTTCATTGGAACTGATAACATGTTATTTCCAGTAGACTGTCAAAAGATGTGTATAAATGATGTAATACCTACAGCAACCACTAAAATGGTATACTAAAAAATACATGCAAAAATACTACATGAATCATCAAATACAATTCTAAAAAATGTTAATGTAACCCACAGGAAGTCAGGAAAAAGAAAATAGATAAACAAAAGAAGATAATAAACAAAATAAAAATAAATTGGCAGAATTAAGCACTAACATCAATATACACATTAAGTGAAAATCTTCTAACTACACTAATTAAAACAGAAATTGGTAGAGTAAATAATAAAACATGACCCAACTATATGCTGTCTGCAAGATGCTCATCTCAAAAATAATCATATGTGCAGGTTGAAAGTAAAAGGATGGAAGAGAGATACATCATGCTAATGTAAATAAAAATAGCAGCAGTGACTCTAGTAATATCAGATAAACTTCAGAGCAAAGAAAATTACCAGGGACAGAGAGGGGCATTACATAATAATAAAAAGGTCAGTACACCAAGAAGACATAGTAATCCTAAATATGCGTGCACCAACAAAAGTACTACATGATATGTAAAGCAAAAAACAAAGTAACTGAAAGGTGAAAATAGAAAAATTCACAGTTTTGGTGGAGTCTTCAACATCCTCTCTCAACAATTGATAGAACAATTAGACAGAAAATTAGCAAATACAGAAAAACTCAACAGCACCATCATCAACAGGATCTAATTGACAATTTTTAAAAATCTTAACCCGAGGATATTTTTCCATTTATCTTCAGATAGAGTGGGAAGGGAGAGAGAGAAAGAGAGAGATCGAGACAGAGATAGAGAGACATCAATGTGAGAGAAACACATAGATTGCCTCCCGCATGACTCTGACCAGGGCCAGGGACCAAACCACAACCGAGGTACGTGCCCTTGACCAGAATCAAACCCGCGCCTCTTTGGTTCTCGGGCGGATGCTCCAACCACTGAGTCTAACCGGCCAGGGCCTAATTGACATTTATAGAACATTTCACATTTAAAAAAATAAATAAATAAAAATTATGTTATTTTTAAGTACCCAAAGAATATATACCAAGATAAACTTATTCTAGACTATAAAACAATCCACACAATTTTAAAAGAATGGAAAAAATACATGGTATTTTCTCTGACTATAACAGAATCAAATTAGAAAAGAATATCAGAAAGACAACAGAAATATTTCTAAACACTTGAAAAGTAAACAACACACTTAAAAAAAAAAGGCATGAGTTAAAGAAGAGGCCTCAAGAGAATTTTAAATACAATGAACTAGACTTATTGTGGTGATCACATCATTAAGACACATAAATGTCTAATCTCTATGTTGTACACCTGAAACTAATATAACATTCTGTCTCCATACTGTTTTCCACAGTGGTTGCAACAGTCTGCATTGCCACCAGCAGTGTACTAGGATTCCATTTTCTCCATATCTTTGCCAGTACTTGTTTGTTGATGTATTGATGGTAAGCTTTCTGGCAGGTGTGAGATAATATCCCAGTACAGCTTTAATTTTTATCTCTCTGGTGACTAGTGACATTGAGCACTTTGTCATGTCTATTGGCTATCTGTATGTCCTCTTTGCAGAAGTGTCTATTCAGGTCCTTTGTCCATGTTTTAATTGGATTGTTTGTCTTCCTGGTGTTGAATTGTTTTGTTTTTTGTTTTTTTTTATCCTCAACTGAGGACATTTTCCATTTTTTGTTCAGATAGAGCAGGAGGGAGAGAGAGGAAGAGAGAGAGAGAGAGAAACATCGATGTGAAGGGACACATCGAGTGGCTGCCACCCGCATGACCAACCAGGGCCGGGGACAAACTGCAACCGAGGTACATGTCCTTAGCGGGAACCAACCCGGGTCTCTCTGTACCACAGGCCGACGCTCTAACCGCTGAGCCAAACCGGCCAGGGCCTGGTGTTGAGTTGTATAAGTTCTTTATATATTTGAATATTAACCCCTTATGAGATGTATCATTGGTGAATATGTTCTTCCCTACATGGGTTCCCTTTTCATTTTGTTGATGGTTTCTTCTGCTGTGCAGAGGCATTTCTTTTCTTTTTTTTCCTTTGTTTCCCTTGCTCTAGGAAATGTATCAGCAAAAATGCTGCCACACAAGATGTCTAAAATTTTACTGCCTATTTTTTTTCTAGGATTTGTATGGTTTCATGACTTATATGTAAGTCTTTTATCCATTTTGAGTTTGTTCTTGTGCATGGTGCAAGTTGGTGGTCTGGTTTCTTTTCTTCTTCTTCTCCTTTTCTTTTTTTTTGCATGTACCTCTCCTATTTTCCCAACACCATTTATTATAGAGACTTCCTTTACTCCATAAAGGCATGGATTAATATCTGGGCTCTGTTCTGTTCCATTGATCTATATGCATGTTCTTGTGCTAGTGCCAGACTGTTTTGATTACAATGGCTTTGTAGTATATTTTAATATCTGGTATTGTGATTCCCTCCAACTTTGTTCTTCTTTCTCAAGATTACTGAGGCTATTCTGAGTCTTTTTTGGTTCCATATAAGTTTTTAAAATATTTGTTATAGGTCTGTGAAATATGCCATTGGTATTTTAATAGAAATTGCATTGAATCTGTAGATTGCCTTAGGTTGTATGGACCTTTTTTTATTTATTTAAATATGTTTTTATTGATTGCTTAGATAGAGAGAAAGGGAGAGAAACATTCATGTGAGAAACTTTGATCAGCTGCCTCCCACACACCCCCATGGGTATGTGCCCTGACCAGGAATTGAACCAGGACCTCTCAGTCCATGACACAATATTTAAGCCACTGAGCCACCGGCCTGACTACTTTGGACATTTTAATGATGTTACTTCTTCCA